AACATTCTTTAAAAAAAAGCTCCAGACTTTTGAATTTCCAGTTTGATTTTTTATTTATTTTCATTATACTCGAAGGTAGAACGCCTAGCTCATTTGTTATTTGAAATGACGTCACGAGTTCAATTTAGATACTGAATAATCATTTTACGGTAAATATCCGAGGCCATTACAATTGATATTTCGCTTCCCATCGCTTCCGCAGGCTGTTGAATATTTTTATACTTTTGTTTATATCTCAGTTTATTTTATCAAGTATTTCTTTCAATAGATTGAAATACCTTTGCCTAACCAAGCCACATGTGTCAGTATCATCTTTTATTGTTTATCAATCAATTGTGGTAGCTGGAAACTGGAAAGCCTCATGGTTGTCTAATGCAAGATCAATGAGATTGTCTTATCAATATCATTATGTAGATTCTAACATGAATTGTGATGTGGTAGGTACCTAGTTATGTATTGTTCATTAGTCATTACTTTGACTTACCTCTATGTTAATTGTTAATGCAAACTTTTCTGTTGGTATGTGAACTGTGAACAATCTTCATGTCACTCAATTCTCTCAAGTTGTGACCGTCATGAGCCTCCTTTATTTTGTATTCTGTATAATGTAACTGGATGCCTTTACTAATATGGTCTTTGTATAAGATTGTTTGTTTCTAACCATACTTTGGTATTCATAACTTCTTATGAAAGAAAGTTGTTAACATTTTGAGCACCTATGTATGAGCTATGATCCCAACGGATCTCACGACAAAATTGGGGAGCCAGATCTATGATCCGAGTGGATCTAGCGACAAAATTGAAGGGTCAGATCTATGATCCCAGTAGATCTCTCGACAAAATTGAGGGGTTGGATCTATGATCTGAATGGATCTCGGATCGGGATCCATGGGATCGGATCTCAGATCCATTTTTCCGGATCCAAGCACATGTCTGTCCCTTACCCAAGGTCAATTGGTTCGGTGACTTTCAAATTATAGCAGGCCCTTCCTCGGTCAGGCTTGATGGATCCACCGTCACTTTGCGCGGTTCTTTTAAGACAGACTGTACATACGTCGCACGCCACGGAAGCCTATATCGGCAGTGGAAAAGAGCTCTTTCATGCGAACTCCGAAGGAGACCGATCGTCCTACTCTGTCAAGTCGATTAAAACCAGGGGAAAAGACGTACGGATACGTCGGATGTCCTGGGAACTGGCGGAGTTTCAGTGCGTACCTCATCCCCAGCATCTGAAGGCGAAGAGATGGTGACGGTTCGTGTGCCTCGGCTAGGATGCTGCTCTTGGGCGACGTACGGAATGCACCGGTGGCGACACGGAGCGCCGCATGGTGCACGGAGTCAAGAACCTTCCTACTGCAGATTCGCTAGCGGAGTCGTCAACAAAGCACGCATAATCCAGTTTCGATCGGACGATTAACCGATATCAAAGTAGCGTCCTGCGGTCCGCCCGATACAATGTACGAGCGGCAGTGGTTAAGAAGCAGCTCGACGACCTGCAGCAGAAGGGCATCATCAAGCCTGTCCACCACTCGACTGAGTAGTGTCACCCACTCGTTTCGGTTCTCAAGAGGTTGACAGATGTCTCAGTCTCGAGGTGCAACTGCAGACTGACTGTATATAGACTTTACGAAGCTGAACAAGCTCGTGAAGAGGCAGACACATCCTATTCGAGGCACACACGACGCCGTAGCATCTATCGAGTGCGGCGCTCGATTCTTCACGAAGTTCGATGGCGATGTTTCTGGTAGTTCTGTTCAAGTTAGGGGGCCCAACTCGAGGGATTTGAGGCCCAGATGAGATGGGCCCATAATCCTTGACTGCCCAAGACCGTGTAAAAAATGAGCTGAAATAATGATTGAAAATACTCGTATCCCGTATCTCGTACCCCAGCAGGCCCATACGAAGCCCAGAGACTCCATAAAATGCCCAGCAGCGCAGCCAGGGTGATTGCGGTGAAATTTCAATGGGCCTCAAAAGGCCTCAAAGGGCCCTCAGATGGCGTCACAGGGTCCTCAGATGGTCTCGAAGGGCCCTCAGCGTCAAATGGCCTTCATCTGGTGTCAAAAGGGCCCTCAGATGGCCCCAAAGGTCCCTCAGCTAACGTCAAATGGACCTCAGAAGGCCTTAAAGGGCGTCAAAGAGCCCTGAGCTGGCGTCAGAGGGCCTCCAGCTGATAACAGAGGGCCCTGAGCTCGCGTCAAACGGCAATCCGAAGGCCTTAAAGGGTCCTTAGCTGGTGTCACAGGGCCCCCAACTGGTGTCAGAGGGCCCTCAGCTGGTGTCAGAGGGCCCTCAGCTGGCGTCAAATGGCCATCAGAAGGCCTCAAACGGTACTCAGCTGGAGTTCAACGGTCCTCAGCTGGCGTCAAGCTACCCTCAAAAAGTCTCAAACTTTAGAGAAGGCCTCAAAGGCTGGCGTCAAACGGACTTCAGAAGGCCTTAAAGGGCATCAAAGGGCCCTGAGCTAGCGTAAGAGGGCCCCCGCTGATGTCAGAGGGCCCTGAGACCATCTAGTGCAAATCTAGACGTTTGCACTAGATGAACATTTTCTGGCATCGCCAAGGGCCTAGGTAGTTAAGTAGGTACCTAGGTAGGCCTTTACCTACCCGGAGAGGACCGAGGGGACGCCGTTTCGGTGCACCAGATGAGGGCGGGCCACTGGGGCGCTCCAGTACGTGCACCGAATCGAACGTCTTCCCTCTGCGGCATGCCAGCGGTGCCCAGACAAGCCGTGTGCGGACGCGAAGAAGAGGTTGATGAGCCGGAGCACGTGCTGCTACGCTGCCTGGTCCTCGCTGGCTCCCGCCAGCCTCGAACACACCTCTCCGCCGATTTTCGTGGCCCCGGAACTTCCGGCTCCGGTCTTGTTTTACGGCAACGCTACAGTGTGCTGCGCTTATTGAAATACCTATTGGGTTTCCGAGGAAAAAAAAAACTTTCGGACACTCAAACGTTGGAAAGCGTCCAATGCCCTGGAACACTATCTGATTGATGCAGCCTTGATCAGTAGATGTGCACATGTGCTTCACACAAATTGGCTAAATTTTGGCAGAAATAGGCATGTCCAAATTTTCAAACCAAATCATGCAGAAATTTCAGTGCAAAATCATTTGGGCTGAATTTCGGAGCAAGAGTCTCAAGGGCGGCCGGCACAATGTAAGGATGTTTTCCAGTCTGGTATCAGGGCTGTTGCGAAAATAAGTGGCCTAAACCTGATGAGAAAAGAGGATTTGGGGGTAACCTAGGTTTGGCTCCGTGACCTGGCATGCCCCTGCGCTCGGACCCTGGATCCACCAAAGGTCAAAGCTAAGCTAGACTTATAGAATATTATAAGAAATCTTTATTCCACAGGCAAGTAAAGTGGGTAGGTTCAAGGTTGAAGTTTTACGGTGACCTCAGGCTAATACGCATTTCAGGAAATACCGTCATTCGGGGTGACTTTGTAAAACTTTTGCTATTTTCTTCAATGCAGGGGAGATCTGAAAAGATATTTTGAACCAGGGTTTGTTCTAAGATACCAAATGGGGAATTCTGTGCATGATGGTGTATATCTGAATATTTAAAATCACTCCCTTATATTTCATTTTTTTGGTTAAAAAATTATCATTGTCACACCAAGGTCGGGGTGACTATGATACCCCTCATTATTTGCATTGTAAATGAGTTGACTGGTCAAACAAGCACAGCAATGGGGGTGTCTATGATAGGTCTGTTTGTTTTAAAAAAAGTATTTTGCACCAATGCAAACTTGATGTCTTTTTTCTTCAAAACATAAAGTGATCACAATTCACCCACTTTCGGATGCATGTGGTCACAAAACACTTAAAAATAACACTTTAAAAATGTCAAACTGTAACTTTTGTGGGCAAGCACAACTGGCAAGGAGCCAAACATGTCACAAATGGTCACATCTTCACGTCTTGTGTGGTTTTCCTTCTCACCAGGTACAATCACAGTACTCTTCCACGACTGCGGTAGCATCGTTCATTTCACTTTGAATGCATGACACATGGTACCATTTCTGGCAGTTTTCACACCCTTCCCACTTGATGTTCTTGTCCCCTGTGGCTCCAGGGGGGTTCCACCTCTCACAGATACTACACTTTTCCTCCTCCCCTGAGTCTGGCTCCTCTGCTGACTCATTTTCTTTGTCTTGCTCAGCGAAGCTTCGCTTCTTTGGTTTTGTCCCTTGCTTTGTCCTTTTCTTGTGTCCCAGACCCTGATGGCTTGAGGTGCTGTGCCTGTACTGCCATCCCTGCAAGAGCAGAGATCCTTTGCCCCCTTTTCCTGTGTTTCTGTGGTTTTCCTGTGGGCTATCATAGTCACCCGGGGCATTATCATAGTCACCCCGACGATCTAAGTCACCCCGAATGACGGTAATGTCCAGCATTCTGGACCTCCCCTTGGAGAAAATATCTGACCTGTTGTAATAATTATACAGTGTAGGTACTGTGTAGGGAATCAGTCGGGGAAACTATGGTAAAATCTGCTATTTTTAGCAGTCTGCTATTTTTAACAGAAATCTGCCAAAAATGGGTACGCATGTGACGTCATCGTACCCAATTATAGCAGATTTGGGTGCAGCCCCATACAAAAGCAGATCTGCACCCTAATTGAAGCAAATGCGCATCAAATGCCTGGCAGGTTCATGATGAGAATAGTGCTGAGAATGTCCTCTGATATTTTTGTTCAGATCCGACTATTTTCAAATTCATTATTTAAAAATAGTCGGATCTGAACAAAAATATCAGAGGACATTCTCAGCACTATTCTCATCATGAACCTGCCAGGCATTTGATGCACATTTGCTTCAATTAGGGTGCAGATCTGCTTTTGTATGGGGCTGTACCCAAATCTGCTATAATTGGGTACGGTGACGTCACATGCGTACCCATTTTTGGCAGATTTCTGTTAAAAATAGCAGACTGCTAAAAATAGCAGATTTTACCATAGTTTCCCCGACTGGAATACTGGACAAGGGCTTTAGCACTTTGACTTACTTGTAAACATGGATGATGACAGCAGCACAGTGCTTGCACTTCCCATGCAAATCACTTTCTTCATTGCAAGAGCATTTAACAGAAAAACCTTCCTTGTCCTTGGTCATGTCGAGCAGAATCTCACAGGGTTTCTCCTCAATTTGCTCTTCGGACAGAATACAAAAAGCTTTTACAGTCAGTTTCTGAGAAGTTCTCTCCCATATCCCAACTGCTAGTAAATGTTGGGCATTCATCACCGCCTCTCCTTCTCTCAAGAGATCAACATTTTTTCCAGCATATTCATAGATATCACACAGCGAGAAAGGAAACTCCTCCATGTAAGTAGAATGAACACAATATCGAAATGGAAACACCACCACGGACCACACGGCGACCACGGGACGCCGGTGAAAACAGGGCGCCGGGGGGCATATTAGTCACGTGACATTTGGAACTTCTCCCCCTCAATGGGCCTTCTGTATGCCAAACGTCACGTGTAAATTTCACGAACCTTGATCAAATCGCCCCAGGCGCCCTGTTTTCACCGTCGTCCCGACCACGGTACACAAAACCAAGGCATATACCGTGACCAAGGCCGTCTCCCAAATCTTGGCGCGCTTGGCGCGCGATGGAACGTGATCGCCTGAGGCGGTGCGCACGTTTACTAATAGCACGTAGAAATGACAACCAATAACGAGGTTTACATGTTTCATCATGGTTACATGCATAGGAAGTCTACAACATATGTCACGGCTCTGTATGTATGGCACAAGGGCCTATTCTGTAAATATTCCCCTGTACGGTACTGCGCTGTACCTCTCCTTGTATTTATTAGGGCCTTACCATTACGCCGTACTGCGTGCTCGTCTCATCGTCGACTGCGCCGTCTCCCGGACGGCCGGCGAACCTCAGTTTCGGACTGGAGCTGTCTCGTCGCTGCGGTACGAGGCGATCAGGCGATCATGAAGTGACCAAATTGCCAGAAATACCCGAAAATAAGAAGTACTCGATTGCCATAGTGCCGACTGACGGTTGGCGGGGGCTGGGCGGAAGCAGACCGTGGACGGGCGCGGGGCGCGGCAGTGGGGGGGGGGGGGTCACCACACCAGGCCTTCCGAGCTCGGAGGGCTGTTGGAGGGAGCCGCGTTGGCGGCGGCAGCTCGGCGTCCCCCCGCCGCGCCGCCAGCTGACCGAACAGCCACCTGAGGCCCTTGAGCTGTCACGAGAGTCATGTTGTCAGTTACGACCTTCGACAGTTCCTTCATTGGCAGTCAGCTATCAGTACCTGCCGACAGCGATACATATGCGCTAGCCGCTAAGATTGATACACATCTGACATCTTCATTCAGTGGCGGATCCAGGGGGGGGGGGCAAAATGGGCATTCCCCCCCCCCAAACGGCATAATTTTAACATTACGCCTATGGACGATGCATGGAAAGAATCGATAAATTGTTATGGTTTGCCCCCCCCAAAAAAAAAACTCTGAGCTGGATCCGCCTACCCCTCATACCTAATGTTTTCCAGAGTATCGTGTCTTGTTAATTGTTTGTAGAAGTTGAAACCGCCGGCACATCACCAGGGGACATTTTGGAAAATGTCTCCCCGTGGCGGCACGAAATCGACGAAAATTTACAGCAGGTACATCGTGAATAAGAAAGTAGACTAAATAGCTTTTATTGGGATAAATTTGGAATGCGGTTTAAATTGCACAGCAGTGGGTGAGGAATCGAAATCCGAAGAGTCTTTGGAATCTGGAGGAAGTTTTTTTTAGGGTGTTTGCCTCCACAGCGTCCAAGAGCGATGCCTGGGGCGCTATAGCTGAGGGGAAGCAGTTGCACGCTGTGTACACCGATTATAGCCTGCGTTTACTAGCGTCAGTCATAAACCATGCTGCTGCTGCTACACAAAATAAAAACAGTCGTTTAACACGCGCAGTGGAAGGGTTGCGAGTACTACGCCCAGTGGAAGGGGGGGGCGGATGTCGCCCCCCCCTAAGATCTCAGCTCCCACTGGAGCTAGAAAGACGAAATTTGGAGGGTAGGTGGAGGCCCAGGGGAACTCTGTTTTGTGTGAATTTCATGACCCTAGGTCAATATCTTCAAGGTCAAATGAGGTCAAAAGTGGTCAAATCTGCCATATTAGCGACTTTTTTGCGTTTACACGCCGATAACTCAAAAAGTTACCAGCCGATTTTCTTTTTTCTTTCACTATACGAAAGAAAATACATTTGTGAGTATGTATGGTGAATTTTTAGTTAATCCAACAATAAATATGGCAGTTAGAAGCATGCTAAGCGTAAGATGTTGCCGGCTGAAGCGGGATCGCCAGACGCGGGAAACGCGGCAATCACAATTTTGTGTTTACACACTCATAACTCAAGTTGTTACCGGCTGATTTTCAAAATTCTTTGACCATAAGATTGCCTGTACATTTCTTAGTCTTCTCACAAAATTTGACGCGAATCGAATATAATCAGCGGTATGGAGCGCGATGTAAAGACGGAACCGTCCCGCCCCGGCACAGTCTACAATTCAGGCGGCGCGTAACGGCTAGCGCCGGCCGCCGCGCCGCCGCGCCGCCGCGGCTGCAGGATGTTTGACTTTACACCGCTATTACTAGAAAAGTTGTGACCCGATTTTTTTATTTCTTGCACGAGAAGATCCGCAGTTCAATTCTGGACAGGTAGCCCAAATTTCACATTAGTATCGTGCTTGCGGCGCGAGTTATTGGCGAAAAACAGGAGGGGTGGGCGAAATCCGCCCTCCCCCCTTCCACTGCGCGTGTTAACACGCGCAGTGGAAGGGGGGGGGGCGGATTTCGCCCATCCCTCCTGTTTTTCGCCAATAACTCGCGCCGCGAGCATAATATCAATGTGAAATTTCGGCTACCTGTCCAGAATTGAATTGCAGATCTTCTCGTGCAAGAAGTAAGGAAATCGGTTCACAACTTTTCTAGTAGGTAATAGCCAGGGGCGCGGGAACTACGTTCAGACTGGGGGGCACACCATGATAGAGTTCAACCTAGGGTACCCCCAAATTTAGTTTTATCGCCGGTTTTAGGTCATTTATTTTTCATCCCTTGGCTTTTTCAACAAAAAAGAAAACATTTGCAAAAAAAGTGCGGCATTCCGTCTTAAAGTTGTGGGGGCACCGCCCCCACGGCCCTAAAGTTAGGGGGGCAAGCTGCCCCCACTGCCCCCCCCCCCCCGGTTCCCGCGCCCGTGGTAATAGCGGTGTAAAGTCCCTAAAGTCCAACATCCTGCCGCCGCGGCGGCGCGGCGGCGCGGCGGCCGGCGCAAGCCGTTACGCGCCGCCTGAATTGTAGACTGTGCCGGGGCGGGACGGTTCCGTCTTTACATCGCGCTCCTTACCGCTGATTATATTAGATTCGCGTCAAATTCGGTAAGAAGACTGAGAAATATACAGGCAATCATATGGTCAAAGAATTTTGAAAATCGGCCGGTAACAACTTGAGTTATGAGTGTGTAAACACAAAATTGTGATTGCCGCGTTTCCCGCGTCGGCCGATGCCGCTTCAGCAGGCGACATCTTACCCTTAGCAGGCTTCTAACTGCCATATTTATTGTTGGATTATCTAGAAATTCACCATACATACTCAAAAATGTTTGTTCTTTCGTATAGTGAAAGATTAAAAAAAAAAATCGGCCGGTAACTTTTTGAGTTATCGGCGTGTAAACGCAAAAAAGTCGCTAATATGGCAGATTTGACCACATTTGACCTCATTTGACCTTGAAGCTATTGACCTAGGGTCATGAAACTCACACACAACAGAGTTCCCTATGGCCCCCACCTACCCTCTAAATTTCGTCTTTCTAGCTCCAGTGGGAGCTGAGATCTTAGGGGGGGGGGCGACATCCGCCCCCCCCCCCTTCCACTGGGGGTAGTGCTCGCAACCCTTCCACTGCGCGTGCTAAACACCGTGCGATTTATTTATTAGTTCAGCTATATTCCCTGACAAGTCCTCGATCCTTGTGGGGTTGCAAATACCGAACTGCGAGTCGGGGAAAAAGAAGCCAGGTAGAAATAATTTTGATACAATTGATCGTCTGCGAAATCATTGTATGCCAACGAGTTTTCTCAGTAATTCAGCTACCAATTCTCGTGCTGTGTTCAACGAGACGTTTACAGTTAGGGTCGAACTTAGAAAAAAACGAACTATAGTGCCGGAATTGTAAAAAAGTGTTAGAAAATTGTTTCGGCAAAACCCGTCTATTTTGGTATTATGGTAGGGTAGTGTGGGGTAATTTGAACACATTTTTACGTCTTCTCCGTTGTACCAAATTCCAGTTCAACCCTGGATGAAGAAAAACTGTTTCAGTAGCGCAAGTGTCACTTGCTTTCACCATGCAAGCCTCATTTTTGGACGAGCCGAGCATACCTTGAATAGCATAGCCTCACTTCTCCACCAAGTCACGGTGTGTTCAAATTGCCCCACCGTGGGGTAATTTGAACATACTGCCTTTACCTGTCATAAAAACGATTGTCTCGCCAGCACCGATGTTGTTTGACCCATAAACAAATAGGCAGAACAATTCTAAACATACCTTCACTTGAAAAATCAACACAACAACAAAAATAACAGTTGCAGAGTATCAATATCTGCACGCTGCACACCGGTCAGTTGACAGAATTCGCCCCTCTTCAATTAACAGAACGTCTATCATTTTTGTTCGATAAAAACTCTCCCAACCTTACTACATCTGTTAAAGTGGTGCCAATCGAAACCTGGACATTTGGAGTTCTGATTTTCGCCAATGTCCAATTCGGAATTGGTTGGACAAAGGTAGCAGACTGGACAACATTGAACGATGGCTTGCTACACTTCAGCGCTTTTTATAAAGTAATCGTGCATAGCATTGATTGGCGAATGGAAAGCTTGTTAAGCTCTCAATATAATGAACACTTTTCGGCTGGTAAAATTACATGATAAGCAATATAAATGACGGTTTTGAGTGTTGATAGCTGCATAATATTCGGGCATATTTGGACAAATAGTTGACTTTAACATTTTTGGACGGAAAATCAACGAAAATGCTGGACATTAGACGGATATTAGACGTAAATTTTCTAAAACTGGCATCACTTATCTGCTACTGCTTTGGTTCGAAAATATTGGCAAAAAAAAACTGGGAGCGTTGTTTTTTTCGGAGGTATCCCTGTCTTCATTGAAATTCTCACACTATGTTCAAATTACCCCACGCTAAAAGTTATTTTGCCATTTTTAAAAAACAGGGTTCAAAAGCAAATTTCTTGGATTGAAGGCACTGATTAGGTCATTATACAACAAAAGCCGTTGCGTATTAGGCGCTAGCAATGCAAGATTTTGCGCTGCAATGAAGTTGCAATGACGTGTTGTAAGGCGTTTTTCCTTGCGAAATTGATTTTTTACACTGTGCGTCAACATCTTCATTCCCTGAAACTTTAAACCCCGTTCATATGATAGCCCTTTTAGTTACGATACTTTCTCTCATTGGTCTTATTGTCATGCCACTTATGGATTTTCCGTAATTTTGTGTTATTCACACTATGTTCAAATTGCCCCACATGTTCAAATTACCCCACCCTACCCTATTTGCCCTGTAGGCCCAGCAT